AACTTTGCTTTAAAAAAAAATGACCTTAACTCCCATGTCGACCCAGCCTTGAGTGGTTACCAGGTACAGTTCGGGGAAGTAAAGGCGACCGGTGTGATGCTGACCACATCCGTTATCAAGTGCCGATTGGTCTATAAAAATATAGGTCTAGTCCTATATTCCCCCTACTCTGGCTTTTGCCAGGGGCCGCAATATAGGCAGGCCATAAATATGGCCAATTGTCTGAACGCGGTTTCTGGGACCTCTCCACGGTGATCCTAATCCACATGGTGGCACTTTGTGTCATCGGGTGTTTATCGCTTGTGTGATGTTCTGGTGGGGTAGAAAGTCCGTCCGTCCGTCCGTCCGTCCGTCTAAAAACATGGAATATGATCCTTTGGTTTGGATAGACCCGCTGTTCTGTTTTCGTGGCTATGGTGTCAGCGATCAAGTTATTAGACTTTATTATGTAAGGTGATTACCTAGCGTAGGAACCGTGGCGGTGTAGTTGTTGGTCTGGAGGGGACAGTCGATCGATGATTCGATCTAGGGGTAGACGCACGTACACTAATGTTTAAGCCTTAGATTCATATTTTTCATTGCTGTCTCTACAATAACGGTCGGTAGCCATATGCCTACACTGCTAATTTTGACAGTACTTAGCAACGAGACTCAGATTTCCTCCAAGGTGCGACTTATGTTCGCACTACTGTCCGAATGACACTCCACGAAATTTGAACCCTGGTACTTGAGCATTGTAAAACTGTGAATTGCATTCACTAACCTATGGCAACGGAGCGGCGCAGTACTAGATCTTATGCCCACATAGGAAGGGCAGAAGTTATTTCTTGTAGCCAAAAAGTGACCCAAGCTAACTGGTCCCTCTGGTTTTGGATTTGTTACTCCTGGATTGGCGTCCACAAAATTGCTGTTTGAGTCACTTGCTTTCAAATCTTCAGGTTGCATTTGGGACCCCCCCCCCTCCCCCTCCCCCCCTAAATAGGTAGTAAAATGATAGTAAGTAGAATGTGAATTACTTACTACTATTGTGTAAAACAAGGTCCACAATCCATTATGTACCCGAGGTAACAAAATAATGCTTACGACAGCTTATCACAAATTCCTGAAGATAGCTGTCTCCATCTTTTACGACCTTATGAGAAGAACAAACAAAACACAAACTGGAATATCTGACAACTGGAAACGTTAATTGAAGAAGCTACAAATACAACGGGAGAAAACTCTTGACCTATTTTTTAAATGACCTGAAAATGCGCCAGCTTAATGAACTGATGTAAACCCCACCGTGACTTGTGCCGGGGCCCCTGAATATAGCCGGGCCATCAATAGGGTCGGACGTTGAAAGGGGTTTCTGGGACCTCTCCACGGGTGATCCTCATCCGCATTGTGACACTAGGTGTCACCGAGTGTTTATCGCTTGTGTGATGTCCTGTCAACAGGAGAGAGAGAGAGAGAGAGAGAGAGAGAGAGAGAGAGTGGGTGTGTGTGTGTGAACGGATAAAGTTAGCAAGGTGGGGAGAAAAGGGGGGGGGGCGCTTGATCGTCCACGTTGGCCTATAAAATACTTAGTGATGGGGTTTCAAAGTGCCAACAGATGCCAGGTTAGTCTTACTGCTAAACTACCACAGGCATCATTGTCTAGTTTTGTGGCAGCTTTCTTAGAAGAAAGACTTTTCTCATATGGCATCTCTAGTGTCAGGGTGGATATGGTCACAGCTGGCGACGATATAGGCGTGTTCACAATCAGTTTGTTTTGGGAACAATCCGCATTCCTACAATCCCAATATCTTCAGATAAAGAAGGCACACTTTTGGGTGTGTCCCGAGGGTGTACACTGGTTCTAAGTAACACTACCGAAAGAACTGAATCCCCTTATTTAAGATGCATTTATTGTATTCATAGCTTCAATCAGTTATTTGTTGCCGATGACATGTTCGCACAGTTTTGTTTCGTTATTTGTTCTGGTCGTAGTCTTTATGTCGTGTGTGCATAATTGGATCAAATTTATGAGGTCAGTAACATGGTAAGTAAAGGACCGTTTCACCATCAGTGGCGCTTTAGGTATGAGATTGTGGATCCATAGATTAGTAGCAGCGCTAGCAGTAGCAGCAGAGAAGTAGTTGTAGTTTAGCAGAAGTAGAAGTAGTCGTCGCATCAGTATTCGTAGTTGTAGCAGCAGTAGTAGTAGTAGCAGTATTAGCAACAGTAGTAGTTGCAGCATCAGCAACAGCAGTAGTAGTAGTAGCTTAGTAGCAGTAGTAGTTGAGTAGTATAAGTGGTCGTAGTAGTAGCAGTAGTAGTAGCAGTAGTTGAGTGGTAGTAGTTTAGCAGTAGTAGAAGTAGTCCTCGTAGCAGTATTAGTAGTAGTAGCAGCAGCAGCAGCGGCAGCAGCAGTAGTAGTAGTAGTAGTAGTAGTAGTAGTAGTAGTAGTAGTAGTAGCATCAGAAAAAGCAGCAGCAGTAGTAGTAGTTAAGTAGTAGTAGTTGAGTAGTAGCAGTAGTAGTAGTAGTTTAGTAGTAATAGTATTAGTAGTCGTAATAGTAGTAACATCAGAAATAGCAGCCGCAGTAGTAGTTAAGTAGTAGTAGTAGTAGTTGAGTAGTAGCAGCAGTAGTAGTAGTAGCAGCAGTAGTAGTAGTAGTAGTAGTAGTAGTAGTAGTAGTAGTAGTAGTTTAGTAGTAGTAGTAGTAGTAGATGAGTAGTAGTAGTAGTAGTAGTAGTAGTAGTAGTAGTAGTAGTAGTAGTAGTAGTAGTAGTAGTAGTAGTAGTAGTAGTAGTAGATGGGTAGTAGTAGTTAAGTAGTAGTAGTAGTTGAGTAGTAATAGTATTAGCAGCAGTATTAGTAGTAGCAGCAGAAGCAGTAGTAGTAGTAGTAGTAGTAGCAGCAGCAGCATTAGTAGAGTAGTAGTGGTGGTAGTAGTTTAGTAGTAGTAGTAGTAGCAGCAACAGTAGTAGTAGTAGTAGTGGTGGTAGTAGTAGTAGAAGAAGAAGAAGTAGTAGTAGTAGTAGTAGTAGTAGTAGTAGTAGTAGTAGTAGTAGTAGTAGTAGTAGTAGTAGTAGTAGTAGTAGTAGTAGTAGTAGTAGTAGTAGTAGTAATAATAGAGTCGTTCTAGTTGAGTAAAAGATGGGAAGAAGGAGAAACAGATTTAGGAAATGACAAGACGTTGAGGAAAGAAAATAACGAGATGTTAAACGATGACGATAAAGAAGATGGGATAGCGAAGTAGAGGAGGATGCAGAAAAAGAAAAAAAGAAAAAAGTAAAAAAAAAAGTAACAATAGTAATAATAATAATAATAATAAAAATAATAATAATAATAATAATAATAATAATAATAATTAAAGAAAAGGAGGAACAGAGAAAAGGGAAGGGAAAAGAAAGACAAAAATAACTTATGCCCCCAAATATCTTAGGAAATTCCCGTAATCCTATTAATTGTTGTCCGCCATACTAAGGTAAAATTTAGTGAATGTCACTGAATGAATGAAATCACCACAAATGATCCCATCCTCCCCCATTATCACATCACCAAACACGGGGTATCACTGCTGTTTTTATCATTTCCACTCCAGAGATCTCTCCTTCCTTCCACAAACCAATTTTCTTTTTATTATTTCACAAAAGGGTCACAGCGGATTTCCGACAGACGAAGGTGGCCGCGGAAGAACAATTCGTCAAGGGAAGGATTAGGATGGGGGCGTAGAAGTTGTCGGTTTCCTTACGCGTGTGGGCTGGAGGGCTTGCCGATTCGCACTTGTTGACCTGGCAAAGTTCAATAAATAGACAAAGTGCGGGCGAACTTAGGTCGTGACTGTCAATGCAACCTGTTTTATTATTACTCAACTATAACTATAACAAATAACTATAACAAAGAAGGAGGCTAGTGTTGGGATGAGGTGACTGGCCCAGCGGCTAGATAACTGGAATCCCATTACAGAGACCAGAGTTTGAATCCTTCATAGGTTAATGGACATTATGTAAACTTATATTATTATTTTTTTTTTTTAACGTATCCAGAAACCATGAGTTGTAAACCCTTTGGCTCGGTACTATGGATATCGCAACCCCTCGGCCTTGATTCCATTGTAAATACCGTAAATCTGGGAGAAATGTGTCTTTTCTGCCTACCCCCGGGAGTGAACCCGGACCACAAGGAGTTCGTCACCCGGCCGCCGCGAAAGTCAGGTTTAACCAACTTCGCTAGAGAGCCGGGCATATTATTATTTAAAAATTATTGTAAACAAACAGATATGTGTTGATCAACATTCAAAGAAAGGAGTAAAAAGAAAAAAGAAATACACAATAGACAACATATAAATCGAAAGCTTTTATTACTATGCCGGGAATCGACATTGTCACTTCCAAATGACGACAGCGCCTCTCTGCAGAAACAAATGTACATAGACGCATGGCAGGCTAGGCTTTCATAAAACAGATGTTTTTTTCATTAGCCATGTCTATTGTATACAGCTTGAAATCACAACTCTGGAATGGAAAATTGGTCTCAACAAACCACAAAAATGGCACCATTGGTTACACAAATGTATATTAACCAAGCGGAAGTAAATTAACAAACGCAGCAACAATTATGACCATAGCTGACCTTAATGTCATATCTACAATACCACGACATTTTGCTTTTGCTGAGGAGGTGGAGGAAAAAAAAAGGGGGGGGGGGGACAAATAATATTTACATCCCAGAGTTTGCGATGAACTAACCACCAGGCCGTCAATCCTCAGACCCAAGACCATCGCTCCCCCACCTCAATCACTGTCACTGCTGTCTGTATGCACCACTCTTTAAGGCGATGTAGACAGGGTGTCGTCAGCCTGAGAATTTAGGGCCTCTCGGGTTGTGCTATCGCCACGGACTGTGCAGGTTAGGATGTATTAATTTTACCTCCGACAAAAAAATCCATCATCTGGTCGGAGTCGAACCTGGTTCATGAGAGCGCAACGTTGTTACCACTCGGCCAACCGCTCCTCTTGCCTATGAGAACATGGGAAGTGTAAAAAAAAAAAAAAAGGCAACAAAAGAAGGAGTAACAGATTTAGGAAATGACAAGATCCCAATCACTAAACGTGTTAAACGCAGGCAGTAACGATCGTGAAATAAATCCTCACCCTCACAGTCGTGGCGACAGCACTAGCCAGGCGGCCGTAAGTCCTCAGGCTCAAAGACCCCCTGCCTACACAGCGAAAGTGGTATAATAATGATAGCAATTGGCAGTAATGATCACGTTTGGGAGGTAATTTTTTTTTTTTTTTTTTTTTTTTCAAACAATTTTGGCAACTTGTCAGTATTTGGATATGGCAAATAAAGTTTTAGCTTTTGAAAAACACTCACACGAGAAGACACAGTAATTACTATTCAGATTATTATTGCGATTATTAATATAATAATAATAATAATAATTATTATTATTATTATTATTAGGCACTTAAAAAAGCTTATGTTTCTTGAGCACCACCCTAATCTTCATCGAGACCATTTGTAAAAGGACTGAGGCCCCATCTTATTTCCCCTCTGAGACAATACCTTCCCCTTAATGTTTTCTTTGAGTCGGCACACATGCGACTGGTCCCATATTCCGTTTGACCAGTCTTACCTGCCTGAGGAGGTCCTAGTGAGATAGCCTTCATTTCCCCCCCCCCCCCCCCCCCCCCCCCCCCCCCCAGCAAGCTTTCCAGCGCCCATCGTAAGCTGGTAGAGCTCCCATTTCAACTGCAAAGCACTCTTTAACAGGATTTTGAACCTATATTTTATAGACCAATCAGCGCTTGTTGGGTGATGTGATCAGCATCATGCCGGTCACCTTTACTTCCCAGGACTGCACAGGTACCAACTCAAGCTACTATCCTATTAAACCTTACAATGAAAGCTACCACTACTGCCTTTATTTGACACATTTGCTGAATAGACGGGGGTGAGGGAGGGGGAAGGGATATAGCGGTGAGCCTTAGTGTTCAGGGCCGCTAGGCTAGGCGTTAATGCCAAGAAACCGTGCAGGTTGAAATTTCCAACACCTGACCTAGGATTCTAACCTGTGTCTCCATGAAAGCCCAGTGGGAACTAGTAACGAACAATCCAGCTCCGCCGACCTACATACAAGATGACCTGTATTTGATGATTGGTCAGGCTGGTCTACGGTAGGGGGTGTAGAATGCACGGGACCCACGTTCAGTGTGCGGGTAAGGGGGTTGGGTTAGTGCCAGTTGTACATGTTATGTTGTTGTTAAAACCGCTCACATTCTGTAAAATAGAGCACGCGTGGTCGCCAGTAAAACCGTCGAGAGAATACAACGTCGCACCAAAATGACATCAAATGGAAGTCACAACTTTTTGGGATTGTACTGGACCCCATAGGGATCGGGTGGGAGGGGGGATATACCCCCCCCCCCCAAACATACATGTCATAGATCGTACACGGCGACCAAGCAGCCCCCCCCCCCCCTCTTTTAAAGATAGAGTACATTTAATTTAGAGGCAACGAACCAATAGTCATCATACTAGTTAACCAGATGTGTAAAACGGATGTGCACGCAAAAATCAAATTCCGGAATAAGACTAAAGTGTAAAAGTGGACGAACAACCATAACGTGCAGCCGGGGCTTACAGGCGGTGAAGGCAAAGAAGAAGAAGAAATAGTAGCAGCAGTAGCAGCAGCCGAAGAAGAAGAAGAAGAAGAAGAAGAAGAAGAAGAAGAAGAAGAAGAAGAAGAAGAAGACGAAGAAGAAGAAGAAGAAGAAGAAGAAGAAGAAGAAGAAGAAGAAGAAGAAGAAGAAGAAGAAAAAGACGAAGAAGAAGAAAAGGGGAGAAAAAGAAGAACAAGGAGGAGGAAGAGGGAGAAGAAGAAGAAGGAGGAGGAAGAGGGGGAAGAAGAAGAAGAAGAATTGGGAAGAAGAAGAAGAAGGAGGAAGAGGGGGAAGAAGAAGAAGAATGGGGAAGAAGAAGGAGGAGGAAGAGGGGGTCGACGACGAGGACGAGGCGGAGGAGAAGAAAAATACAAGCAAGAAAGCATGTCAGCGTATTGATTATTCCTTGGCCTACATATGATCTCAGTAAGTGAGCAGTAATTCCAGTTGGGTTTTCTGTTGCGTTGGTGTGCAGAATTTCCCTCTCACACGCTTTGATGTTGGTTTGTTCAGCGGCATTCGGTGCGGTATGAAACTGAGATGAAGGAAAAGTTCTGCGGGATATTTAAACAGATTTCAGAATTTTCTTTTTGTTTTGGAACATATACATTGAATGCAAATAACGGCCGTTTTCTGATTTCTGTTGTTGTATATAATTATTCGGTAAGTAAGTATGTAGTAAAGATACAAACAACGATAGTAAATAAAATGGAAAGCATGGGGTGGGATAATGGCACAAGCTGATAAGGTGTTATACTTCATTTGAGAATAAAGAGAAAACGAAACAAGAAGAAAAAGAAGAAGAAGGAGAAGAAGAAGAAGTAGAAGAAGATGAGGAAAGAAGAAGGAGAAGAAGAATCTTTAGTGTAATTGTATTTTTGTACTCACGACTTTCATTGACAGTTCTGTTAAATATGGTGAATCATAATGCTGAGTCAGGATGACATAATCTAAAGTTGAATCTGCATGTTCAGTGATAAGGATCTAGCGAAATTATCAATCCTATTGAGGACTTGTTAGTTTTTATTTTGCGATCATTATAACGTAGGGTACAAATTGAGTACAAATTGACTAAATATAGTCAACATAATTACTTTCTTCTATAAAGACTTTCCCTGCAGTATAAAAAATTACAATACATCTTTCCCAGTAAAGACGGATGTAAGACAGGGATGTGTTATGTCATCTCTCCTCTTAAACCTTGTGATTGATTGGATACGAAAGAACACAGTAGACAGGACATTAAGAGGCATACGATGGACTCCATTCACCATGCTTGAGGACCTTGATTTTGCAGATGATATAACACTCCTATCACATAAACATGAACATATACAAGAGAAAAGTAACAGACTAAACTGCACAGCAGAAATGGTGGGACTGAGAATAAATACAAAGAAAACTAAGATCATGACAAACAGTCCAAACCAACAACCAGTGATCATAAGTAACCAATCACTTGAAAATGTAGAACATTTCACGTATTTTGGCAGTGTGGTGTCCCTACTGGGAGGGGCAGAGGAAGACATACAGTCACGTCTGAACAAAGCTAGTGCTGCTTTTGGAATGATGAGGCAAATCTGGAAATCCAACAATTACTGCAGCGGAACGAAACTCCGACTCTACAAGAGCATCATTTTGCCAGTTCTTCTCTATGGAGCGGAATGCTGGAGAATGACCAAAAAGGATGCACACAAGCTGTCCACCTTCCACCACACATGTCTACGTAGAATTATCAAAATTTTCTGACCAGATACAATCTCAAACACTAAACTACTTCAAACAACAAACCAAGAAACTTTAGACAGTATGATTACCAAGAGAAGATGGAAATGGCTTGACCACGTTATGAGAATGACTTCTGATATATCTGCCAAAACAGCTCTCAAATGGACACCAGAGGGAAAGAGAAAACAGGGGCGCCCAAAAACAACATGGAGACGAACGATGGAAAGTTACCTGAGTGCGGCATCTTTGACATGGAAAACTGCATTGAAGATTGCACAGGACAGGAAAGCATGGAAAGTCCTCTCTGAAGCCTCATGTGCCACTAGGCATAACGAGAACTGATGATGATGTACAAATTGAGGCCTTAAAAGCTGAATTATAAAGGCCAAACGAATGGTCGAGTGAAATTGAAATTCTGATTCTGAATTGTAATGCTCCTATATCTTGGGGTTGGCGCTCTGCATGGGAAGCGTGGCCCACGTAAGATTTTTCGTGGCCTGCCGAGTAAATTGAAGTACACAATATCATAAGATACCCACCCCCCCCCCCCCACACACACACACACACAAACCTACCAAACACACACACACAAACTTTTAAAAAGAGGTCACAGCCCCACCTGCCTCTGCTCACTGCCACTCCCTGACAGTCCTCGGACCTTTTATTCCACCTGCCTCACCACTCAGGGACACCCACGAACCTCACCCGAGCCGCCAGGTGACCTACATAGAGCCTCACATTGATCAGCAATTAATCTCGAGTCACGTGACCTGAACCTCAACCAAGCCGCCAGGGCGGGAAAATCGTTGTTTCTTCTATTTCTTTGGTAGAGGGCACATAACAAAGGTTATAAAGGGAAATCGGACAAGGAAAAAAAATACTAGACAGAACCTCTCTAATCACTACTGTAGTAATGGTAAGATGTAATGCTAAACTTTAAGGTGTGATTGTAATGTGTTTTTATTTTAATCGTGTCTGATTTGCCTGTTGAGCCGTCTGTTTAAACATTCTTGTGTGAACCCCCCCCCCCCCCCCCCACCCCCTCCGTTTTCTCTACCCTTTCTTTCTATAACTCTCTTTTCCATTTTCTTATATTCTTTCACAAACTGTCACACTTTCTCTCTATTACTTTTTATTCCGTTGTCTTATATCCTCTTACACTTTCTCTCGTACTTTCCATCTTCTTACCCGCATAAGACTGCAGTTCATAGTATCAGCCAGTAGAGCATGCACTCCAGGACTACACAGAATTGGACACATTGAGGCAAACCTTTAGGATTGAGGCAAACCTTTAAGCCAGACAGAACAACAATGGAACATAAACTCCACGCACCACTGAATGAACTACGACAGTGAAATTTATTATAGAGAGTGTTTGCAGTTATAGACAGTTATTTCAGGCGAAAGTAGGTAGGTAGGTAACTGTACCCCACCAGGACATCGCACAAGCGATAAAAAACTGGTAACACAAAGTGCCACCATGCGGATGAGGATCACCCGTGGAGAGGTCCCGGAAACCCCATTAAACTGTTAGGCCATATTTCAGGCCCGGCTATATTTAGGGCCCCCGGCAAAAGCCAGGGTGGGGCTTCGAAATAGTTTAAAACTGCATCCAACAAGGGGATGACGCAACTCAGCGAACGAGAGAAGCAGAAGAAAACACAAGGGTTATATAGCTGTTACAGGCGCCCTTATTACAACTCCTTTGGAGGTGAATATGAGATCTAACTTGTTGCTCTGCCGTCAAGTTCCATATTGCGATTTTTTTAAATCTATGGATGGTATGATAAACCATTAAGAGCCGCTCAGAATAGACACATTGGTCGATCGATGTTTCACGTCCTCTCTGTCTGTCTCTTATTCTCTCTCACACACACTCTCACTTTCTGTCTGTATCCTTTCTTCACTCTCTTTTCTTTAACTCACAATCTCTTTATGTCGTCCCATTAACACACCTAAGTAACATGACGTTGCACGGTTTGTCAGGTGACATTCATCGGTATTAAAGTCACTTGATATCTCACTTCTAGCTTAGTCACGTTGGATCTTGTCATCAGAATCACATGTCACAAGGTCTTTCTTTCTCTGCCATCTCTGCCATCCCCCCCCCCCCCCTTTCCCCGACTGGCTTAAGACTTCTAAAAAAAAAAAACAGAAACAAATGTACAATAAAAACAATACATTTTGTGCCGTTTCTTGCTACATTCTAGGGCAGACATTTTTCATGGAAAACCACAGTCTGCGGACCACGGGTCGAACACATAATGTAACAAAACGCGGCTCAGTTGCAAGGGAATTCCTGCACTGTTAGGGTCAAAGATCACTGTCATGTGTGTTCTTGACCCTTGACAGTGCAGACAGTGATGAAACAGGTCATCTTATGTGGTTCATGGAACGACCTGTTTTGTAGTGATCTTTAATGCACTGTTCTCAACTCAGGACAATCCTTAGTAGCACTGAGTAAGGAGCTGTGATGTGCATCGTTGAGTTGTAGTGTTTTTATTCAGCTTTCAATTTTCTTGCTTGTAACACTCAACTCCTTCGTGTGTGTGTGCGTGCGCGCGCGCGCGTATGTGTGTGTGTGTGTTCTGTTCTGCAGGCCTTTCGCATGTTTTATGTGTCGTTTTCTTTCTTTTCTATCTTTCTTTTTTTTTCTTTCTCTCCAGGTTTCCTTCTCTTTCTTTCTATTCTGCAGGCGGTTCTCATGTTTTGTATGTCTGTTCTTTCTTTCTTTCTTTTTTAAATTTGGGAGGGGGTGGGTGAGGGATCGCTTTCTACTTACTCTCTTCCCAACTCCATTTCTTTCTTTCTTTCTTTTCCAACGTTCTCACTGTCTCCCCACCACCTCCTTTTTTTTGGAGGGAGGAAAAGGGAGAAGTCTCTTTCTAACATACATCTCTCCACTTCCTTTCTTTCTTTCTTTCTTTCTTTCTTTCTTTCTTTCTTTCTTTCTTTCTTTCTTTCTTTCTTTCTTTCTTTCTTTCTTTCTTTCTTTCTTTCTTTCTTTCTTTCTTTCTTTCTTTCTTTCTTTCTTTCTTTCTTTCTTTCTTTCTTTCTTTCTTTCTTTCTTTCTTTCTTTCTTTCTTTCTTTCTTTCTTTCTTTCTTTCTTTCTTTCTTTCTTTCTTTCTTTCTTTCTTTCTTTCTTTTTTTAACTTACCCTCTTCCCTGCACTCCGTTTATTACTTTCCATCCTTCTCTCTCTCTCTCTCTCTCTCTCTCTCTCTCTCTCTCTCTCTCTTTGTTTTCAAAAGCAATACAAACAACTAATATAATTTCACACATAATAATACTCTGGCTGCTTTTAATTGTCATATTTCTTCTCTTTATTTGTGCGCTTTTTTGACTTGTTTAATTCTATCACGAATTGCAGAGCATGAGCATTGGTGAGACGAGCTCTGGCCCCAGCAGCAGGACAACGGGGAAACGACCGGGCAAACGGCCTGGCAGAAAGGCATCCAGGGTTGACGAGAGCGCCAAGCTGGAGCGCAGTCGACAGAGCGCCAGGGAATGTCGTGCCAGGAAGAAGCTCAGATACCAGTATCTAGAGGAGCTGGTGCAACACCGGGAGAAGGCCGTGTTTGCTCTCAGGGATGAGCTGGAAACGGTAAGTGTTTTCTCGCCTGATACACACAAACACACACACATTATTTTTAAGAATCCAGAAGCCATGAGTTGTTAACCCTTAGGCTCGGTATTTAGGATATCGCAACCCTTAGGCCTTGATTCCATGATAAATACTGTAAATCTGGGAGAAATGTGGCTTTTCTGCCTACCCCCGGGCGTGAACCCGGACCACATTTCTAACTGCCAAAAGATTTTGTACGTGCGCAACAAGACAAACTGGCGTCTGATCTTACTACATAGGTACCAGGGGGAATTACTAGAAGTCCACATGAAAAAAGGCCAGCCTTCAACTATCCCATACGTCTTTTTTAGGACGTAATTTTTTGTTATTTGAAGCCCCACTCCGGCTTTTGCCAGGGGCCGCAATATAGACAGGCCATAAATATGGCAAATTGTCTAAACGCGGTTTCTGGGACCTCTCCCCGGTGATCCTCATCCGCATGGTGGCACTTTGTATCATCGGGTGTTTATCGCTTGTGTGATGTCCTGGTGAGGTAGAAAGTCAGTCAGTACTGCACTGTGAATGCAGAATCTACCGTGTGGGCTCCAGGGCCCTAATATAGGGAAAACAAGAATAGACTCACTGATTACCCTAAAGCATGTCGTAAGAGTCGACTAATTTGGAGCTTTCTTAAAAGTCGGAGTGCATCTGCCTAAGAGGCAAGTAACCAACAGCCTGCACACAAATGTGTTAGATCTGTCAAACAGATGTACAAGCAACACTGAGATTCTGGAACGGGACTGCAGTCCAGAGGTGGACGAACAACCAAAACTTTCCACCCGAGTTTACAGCTGGTGAACGCAAAGAAGAAGAACGCAGAATAGATTAAAAAAAAAAAAAGACTAAGTACACGACTTCATAAAAAAGTCATTAAATTAGTTACAATATTTACGGCTATGTTCAGACGTTGTTTTGGGAAGCTCGAATGTACCATATAAATGATAATTATAACAGGGGAATGTCCATAACCGGTCTCAAGACGAGACTAAAAATATCTCTTCATATTGTCAAATACCTTCTGCAACGTGTCAGTTGTTATTTCTTGAATGACAGTTCTGCTTCTTTCAGGTCATCAGTTGTGTGTGCATTATTATTATAAATATTTCTCCTCAAGAAACTCCATTGATAATAATCTAATGGAGTTGGATCTGGTGAACAAGAAGGTCAAACGGCATATGGTATGCGATTAGTGCCGCACACACGCGCACGTGCGCACGCAGGCACACGCACGTCAAACACACACGAAAATTTTGATAACAGCATTCTGTTTTGAGTAATGAATTACTACAGTAGACAGCCGTTCACTGCATACTGCTCCTGAATAACTGTGGAGCACATTTATGATGACGTCATATACTTCTTTATTTTTTTTTTAATTCATTCTACGTACACATTTTGAGACTATAAACACCCCGCAGAAAGATAAATGGATATCCGAATAAGAGAGGACAAACTAACAGGAGTGATTTATTCTTGTTCCCTTCTTTCAGTTATCTCATTGAAGTGGGGGGGAGGGGGGGGGGGGAGTGTGGATTTTCCCATGCTCTTTCCATTGCATTCTGTTAGTTTACTTATATTTCTTTAAGGCCGTCATTCCCAATCAAATCAGCAGGTCACAGTGTCACGCCATATACCCAGCTCAATAGCTGGGTGACGGAACTGTATCCTTTCAGTCTACATATGGATGTAAATGCAACGACTAAGTATTGTCAGAAGCAAAATCTTCCCACGACCAAAGACAGCAAACGTGTCGACGCACTATACTGACCGGGAGTAGAATCTGTTAAATAGCCCGTATTATTTTTAATATGCTCAAAAAAAAAAAAAAAAAAAAAAAGAGCGCTGAAAAAAAAATACGAGGGAGTATGGAGGGGGAGGGGGGGGGGGGGGGGTAGGTGGAGTGGGCTTTCAATAACTGAATAAAACATTATAATGGGCTGTACAGAAATAAATATTATATATTTAAAAAATGTAAACAATGAATACTTAAAATGAGAACTTTCTCTACACGGGTTGGTTGGTTTGTGTGAGTGTGTGTATGTTGGGAGGGGCGTTGTCATGGCCTATAAATATAATTTTCATCAGAAGAAAAAAGGACTAGTTGGTAGCCTGAATGGGCTGAAGCTCCAGGTTCCAGTCCCTAGATGGTTTGACCACATGGCATGGAAAATATTTGAGCACAGACCTCATTGCTGATTTTGCTGATCGTGCGATGGCGACCATTTCTGTTTTTGATTCACTACGAGTGGGGTGTGATGTTACTTTCTCTTGAGTCCCTACCGTCGTGTCATGTTTTTTTTTTTTTTACATTCGGTTAAAGTGTATTGGTGAGATCCGGCTTTCTCAGTAGCATTTATTACTGTGAATTGATTCACTTTAAAAGTCCTGCCTTCTTAGACTTATGGCTAGAAAAATGTACATGGCTGTAATAAATGTAATGTTACACACACTGAGAGAGAGAGAGAGAGAGAGAGAGAGAGAGAGAGAGAGAGAGAGAGAGAGAGAGAGAGAGAGAGAGAGAGAGAGAGAGAGAGAGAGAGAGGCGGAAGTATGGAGGAAAAGACTGCAGAAGGTTACCAGATATGAACTATACACGTACAGAAAAGTTTCCTTCATCCCCAGTACAATAGGCTGAGTGGTCTCGATGCATGGTGTCCGCTAATCCGTACACCACTAATGGCTCCTTGTCTCTGTGTAGTAAGATTGGACGCCCGAGTGTATTGTTGCGCAATTAAAAAAATCCATTGACAATTGGAAGTCGAAAAGAGTAGTCCAACGACACTGTCCGGGCAAAGTTTGGAGTTAGAAATCTACCCAAAGTATTTCATTATCCTCGCCGGTGCTACGGAGTTCGTGCACTGCCCTGAGATTTTTCAGACTCGGGCTTGAGTTAGAAGTTAAACGGAGCACTTATGGGTTACTAACCTAGTGCCATGATATTGATCCGTTGTTCAAACCAACCAACCAACCAGTATAATGAAGTAAAATGTTGAGGTAAATCTTGTACTAGTGCATCGCTGAAATCTATATCAGTGTCGCTAGTTATTAATCTCCCCCGCGCCCTCTTTCCCCTACCTCTGCCCACCGCTCTTTCTCTATTACTTTTCTTCCTCTCCTTCTCCCCTGCCTCTTCCTCCATCTCTCTCTCTCTCTCGCTCTCTCTCTCACACACACACACACTCTATTTTCCTTTCCTCCTTCTTCTCTGCCCCCCACCCCCACCCCAAAAAAAGTTTTGCAAGTTGTGTACGTAACTCGATCTTTTACACTGAAGTTACGTCAAGTTTCACCTTGCTCCGATCTGATCCCAAACCCACTGGCTTTCGTCGTCCACACCTTGTAAATAAAAATTACTTTTCTTTTCTTCGAAAATATTTTGTTCCTAAGAAATCTATTTGCTGCTGATTTCAAAGCTTTCATTTGAACTTTGTATTTATTAAGAATATATTTACAAATCATGTTTAGATTTACTGATTGTAATGTACATTTTAATAATAAACATATTTATTCCCAATAAAAACAAATTGTTGTTATGCTTTTATCTTCTCTTTAGTATAAACAGTGGTGCACCCAGCTTGACACGGAACAACGTGTGCCGGACTCTCTGTTGAAAATGATTGCCAGTGAGCGGATATCACAGGAGAGGAAGCAGAGGGAGCAAGCCAATAGGTTGATGATACTTCAGCGGCAGAGAAAGGAAGAGATATCACAGTTCTCTTCCTCGTCATCGTCCCCAGATTCATCGCCATCCCCACGACATGAACAGTCACAGCAGACAAGTCATCCTCAGCTTGGCGGAGAGCCGTCAATTACGTCTCAGGTTAGTTTACACCAGACGCCTTCATCGTCACAGCAAAAAGAGCATCCAGTTGGAACAGACTCGTCATTTCATCATCATAGTACTCAACATCAAACATCTTCACAACAGCAAAGGAATCTTCACATTGGATTAGAGCCGTCAGTCATATCTCAGAGCACATCGCATCAAATGTCTTCATCTTCGCAGCAGCACAAACATCAAATTGGGACAGGGCAGTCATATAACCCACAAAGCAGTTTACTTCAAATGCCTTCTTCTTCATCTCAAACAAGCCATCATCAGACTGGAGTTGAGCCGTTATTTCAGATTCAAACATCTTCAGAGCAGGATAATCTTCAAACTGTCACAGAGCCGTCATTTGATCCCCGGGGTATCCAACCTCAAACATCTTCATCTTCAGAGCAAAAAAGACATCAGATTGTTGGGCAGTCATGTACCTCACAGGCTGCTGTGCATCAAAAACCTTCTACTTCATCGCAAGAAAGTAATCGTCAGATTGGTGTAGAACCATTATTTCAACCATATGTTGCTCAAGATCGTTCATCTTCATCTTCAGAAATTGGTCATCCACCAACAGTATCGCCTCATCACTTCCACCGGCATCACCAGGGACAGCGAGCTCAAACGATGCAACACAAAACATCTTTGCGGAGACAAATGGCATTTGATAAATCTCACCCCGATGATACTCTGTCTAATGTTTCGTCACATACAGAAACCATCATTCCGAAAAGAACACCAAATATACAGAGTCATGCTCAGAGCTTTGAATCCAAAACAAGTATTTTCCCCCAACAGCAAAGAGTCCAACAGCTGCTACAACAGCATCACATGCAACATGCAAGAACTGAAAGTTCCCTGTCAGCACCACTACACTACAACATCCCTCAACACATTTCTCAGAGATCTCTTCACCCACAAAAGACTAGTGTCGAAAGCGAACCGCCTTTAAAATACGAACATCCTAGTGATGTACCAGGAACTAATCCTTCAGCTAGTATTGAAACCAGGCGGGCAAGATCTTTGAGTAATCCAGCATCAATGGTAAACTTTCCCAGATCCTCCACCTACGCATCCAGTTCACGGAGCTTGCCAGGATCTTCACGAACTGTTCAGACCCCTCTCCCCACGCCCTGGCCATCAGATCGAGGATCTGGCCAAGGTCTTGGTTTATTTAGTGGGTCTTCGATTGGATGTAAAATATCCCCTTTAACTCTCAGCATCCCAGCATCGGCTGCTGTTGAAGAGAGTAGTTCTTCAGATGAGAACGTCAATGAACGGCAGTTGTTTCATTCTTCTCTCCTACCATTCAAAAGGACGTCGGCGGATCCTGCTGTTACAGACAACACTCAGTGGATTGCAACCTCAAGGAGCTCCACCATCCATTCAGGATCTACTTCTTTCAATACTGACCCTAATATCACGCTTAGTAACTTAACGACCATTCATTGTTTAAGTACCACAAGGACTTGCAACACGCCTTCACCATCCCCTGTAGGACTTGGTCCTTCTGGGCTTCCTTCGCCTTCTTCTGTTTCGAAATACATGGGGATATCTGGCTCTACGCCGTCTTCTTCTGCCAGTACCTCTCCAGCTCCGTTATCGTCTCTTTCATCTCTCTTCGAATCGTCGGCGCCTTCCCCAGTGATGTCCTCCTCAACATTTAGTACGCAGTTAGATCCCGCGGATCTTCACTTATCAGAACACGCCTCGTCCATCCCAGATTCCTTTCACTGTTCAGCCATGAGTCTCAGTGCTTCCATAGACGAGCCCATCCCTGAGTTGTACTCCTTCCTTGCTGACCTTGAAGAGGGTGGCATGTCGTCCTTAAGCTCCAGACACGGTGCATCCTCCAGTCACAGCACTCCATTGGCTCTAACCCCCAGACAGCACGACCAACCTTCAACTCCTGACCCTGCCTATCTCAACGTCCCGAAAATAATCGACGAGTACTTGGATTCCGACAAAGAGGATTCATGACACGAGTAATGGCCGTGGTAGCGCATAGTTCGTTTGCCTCATAGCCTGGTGGCCATTACCAGGATTCCACACGTTGAGGTGAATTGTTTTAACTTACATGAGCGCCCAGGTCGATCATGTCTCAAACAAATCCAAGGAAATATCATGGGAAGTAAAGATGTCCGGCAAGATGTTGACCTGATTGGTCAATAAAACATTTGGTTATGTTGACTAGTACACCAGCTTAGTCCTGATTAGTCAATAAAACTGTTGGTTATGTTGACTAGTACACCAGCTTAGTCCTGATTGGTCAATAAAACTGTTGGTTATGTTGACTAGTACACCAACTTAGTCCTGATTGGTCAATAAAACGTTTGGTTATGTTGACTAGTACACCAACTTAGTCCTGATTGGTCAATAAAACTTTTGGTTACATTGACTGGTACACCAACTTAGTCCTGATTGGTCAATAAAACTGTTGGTTATGTTGACTAGTACACCAACTTAGTCTTGATTGGTCAATAATACTTTTGGTAATGTTGACTAGAACGCCAGCTTAGTCCTGATTGGTCAATACAACTTTTGGTTGTGTTGACTAGTACACCAACGTAGTCCTGATTGGTCAATAAAACTTATGGTTATGTTGACTAGTACACCAACGTAGTCCTGATTGGTCAATAAAACTTTTGGTTATGTTGACTAGTACACCAACTTAGTCCTGATTGGTCAATACAACTTTTGGTTGTGTTGACTAGTACACCAACGTAGTCCTGATTGGTCAATAAAACTTATTGTTATGTTGACTAGTACACAAACGTAGTCCTGACTGGTCAATAAAACTTTTGGTTATGTTGACTAGTACACCAGCTTAGTCCTGATTGGTCAATAAAACTTTCGGTTATGTTGACTAGTACACCAACTTAGTCCTGATTAGTCAATAAAATACTGGCTATGCTGACTACAAAACCCAGCGAGTTTTGATTGGTCAGTCAAAGATTTGCTAACATTATGTGTCCAGTTACATATGTTAATATTTATATCTCCTTGTGGGCTCCAGAAAAATATTTTTTTTTTTAACTTTTGTGTGTGTATTTAAACAAGAATAGACCTACTCCCCCGGTTCTTTCTTTTTAGCCGATCACAAATGACGTCACGGGACAGTTCAGTGTTTTAGAAGGTCGTAAAAGCGGGTTACCCGTGTTTTCTGTGCTTTAGAGGGTTTCTTCCAAGGAGGAGGTTTTCGTGCGTTAACCTAACCGTAACCCGAACACTAACCAAAACTACACGCCTCATCTACCACCCATCTGAAATATTTGACTGTGCCGTGACCTGTGGATTTCCCCTGTTTGTGGTCGGCTAATAAGAAAGTGCCACTACCCCTAGCAAGCACGTCGTTAATGGTCACTGATTAGGGGTTAGCTTAAATCGGATGTGTTGACCGCAAGGCTCAGATATCGCAGCCTAGCCGTAAAAACAAATGCATTTGCACTCTGTGCTACTTGAACCAGACATAGTCACTAAATATAAACTAAAAAAAGAAAATTAGCGAAAGTTGGTAACCATTGAAATAGATATCTGACGGACTACAGGAATGACCAGAAGAGACCTAATCAGAAATGAGCTCATTTAAGAAAAAAGTCGGCTCAGAACCAATTTGAACTCTGGGCACATTTGCAGGGGCTAACGCATCATTTTAAAAATGTAGAGCCAGATTACGGAACCTATGATCTTGTCTTTTGCACATATTGAGGTTTGTGTGTGTTTGTGCGTGCGTGTGTTTCTTGACTGGCTGGAGTCTATTTTGTATTAGAAGTATTATTGTACATATTGGTCATGCTGTATGGACAATACATAGATTTTACAATCCTGTCCATTTTCATGCAGTGGAGAGGAGAGTGCTTAGAGGGCTCTAGAACACTTGGAGGATGGAGGATGGTAGAACCCCCTAAGGACATCTTCTATGGTGAATTACAGATGGGCTGGACACACTCGAATCATAGTTGAGGTCCTGAATATGACTTCTGTGGTGAATTAAGATGGGTAAAAGATGTCAGTGTCGGCCTCTACAGTGATGTAAAGATATGTGCAAGGGGGCCTGAATGATACAGGTATTGAGGTAAATTCACACGAACATAATGCTATAGATCTTGCCGCATAAAGAAGGGGAATACCTGGAAATAAAGAAGGACAAAGGAGATGCTGATTGCCAGTCTCTTTTTGGTACCAAAAGATTGTGTTTCAATTACTGAAGAAGAAAATAGACTCAATGAAAAGAACATGAGCATGTTAGTTTCACAGAGACAATATATGCTATTCTGTATTTTAGCACATCTTGCCAGATTTCTTTAGCATGCTAAAATCAAATGTAAAATATATAATAACCCACCATTGGTTGTTTGATACGCACTGATTGTGCATATCAAACGCATGTTGGTGACAACACACTGTTTGCTGGTTGTGATAGAAAGAGATAGAGGCTGCGAGCAGAGTGGTTGAGAAGAAGTAAATAAAATACATTCGATGACAACAATGGTCTTGAAATTTTTATGGTGGAACCTGTCTTAATGCGAGCTGGTCTTGCTATTCCCACCCAGTGTGCCGTGATTACGTCACAATGTAATACTTTTGCTTGGAAAGATGCCAGCCACTACTCATTGCTCCTTATCGTTTCCGTGCTGGCCACAGATGTAGTGATAACTGACTTGATGTTGGCGGTGCTTTATTATTATCCTACCCCAGATAACGTCACATGACAGTCTAACATTTTAGAGGGTGGTAAGACTGGGTTTCCAGGCTTTCTGATGCTTTTAACGATCTCAAAACGCCTAGAACTGGCCCTAACCCCAACCCACCTACGTCCCACGGAATAGAGAAGCCTAGGTCCCACGACTGCATGCAGCCTAGGTCCCACGACTGGGTCTACCACACCCTGAAATATTGGACTGTCCCGTGACCTGTGGATTTCCCCTGTTTGGGGTAAGATATTAATAAAGCACCCTGTTGTGTTCTTGGCTCACTGGCTTCTGAAATCGGCTGCTAAATGTTGCATACGTAAATAGGGCATTATTTACACATCTTTACACAAATTCATACTTCCTGTTGATCTGGTTTTATTAATTCATTCAGTAGAAGTGTAGTTCTTGTTAATTTATTCATTGCATAAAATATAAAACACTTTATAATGTTCCCAAGTACATTGATAGTTAGAAAGGTATTCAGCAGATCATTCTTACGGCACAGATAATAACTAAACCCACAAGTGCTCGGATCCCCTTCTCAGTAGTTCCGGCAGCAATAACTATTAAAAGTACCCCTATTGCAGCACGAACTAAAAAAAGGGGGGAAAAAAAAAGGGGGGGGGGGGTGTACAGTTGGGCGGATCTTTTTTCTGTACATAATTTTATCATTGCAAACAGTCAGTGGGTGAGGCTATGACGTCACTCATGAAATCGCTGTTTATTTTTTTGAATCCTGTTTATGTAGGGCAGTACAGATATTTATTTTCATAAAGCTGCAATTGTAAATCACGTATGTATTTAAAAAATAAATCATGCCTTGTTATTTTGTGTATGTGTGTCAACCTATAATATATGTAGTCCATAGTTTGGGTCTTTCGTTGTCTGTTTATTGAATTTTGGAATTTATGACCATCTGGCATGTGCTGGGCTAAAGATATTTATGTGCGTAAGTTATCATTGTAACCGTGTGCCTTATAGAGCAACGCAAGTGCCGCTGTCGCTCTATTTGCCTTAACTCTCTGCATTCTGTATTAGCTGGTCAATTACCGTCTTCCATTTTGTTATGGAGAACTCCCCGCATTGTATCTCCTCTGTCTATATTTGCCTCTAACGCCATCATCTTCCCAGTTGCCACAGTCTTCTGCAGATGCTATTTCATAATGTGAGAATAACTTGTTTGTCTCAGTAAGAGCATTCGTTTGTTATTTTGAAATGGTTTTGTGTAATGCTTTGATTCGCCTTTTATAGAGTTTTACATAGAACTTTTAAAGGCTTTTAGCTTGCCTTTGTGGGGATTTGGTTACACTTTACTGTTCTTTCACCGGTCTTTTTGTACTGATATTCTAAGACTTAAAAAAAAGAAGACTATTACAGTACTTGGCATTGTTAGTGCTTTTCTCAGAATGTTATAGTATTTGATTTTTTGTTGTGGAGGGAATGAAGGATAACAAGGAAGAAAATGATCATCTCACATCATACATCGTGCCATAGAATGCGTGGATGCCTAACATCTCAAATCGTACATCGTGCCATAGAATGCCTGGATGCCTAACATCTCACATCGTACATCGTGCCATAGAATGCGTGGATGCCTAACATCTCACATCGTACATCGTGCCATAGAATGCGTGGATGCCTAACATTTCACATCGTACGTGCCATAGAATGCGATGATGCCTAACATCTCACATCGTACATCGTGCCATAGAATGCGATGATGCCTAACATTTCACATCGTTCATCTTTCAATAGAATGCCTGGATGCCTAACATTTCACATCGTACGTGCCATAGAATGCGTGGATGCCTAACATTTCACATCGTACGTGCCATAGAATGCGATGATGCCTAACATTTCACATCGTTCATCTTTCAATAGAATGCCTGGATGCCTAACATTTCACATCGTAAATCTTGCCATAGAATGCCTGGATGCCTAACATCTCACATCGTACATCGTGCCATATAATGCGTGGATGCCTAACATTTCACATCGTACATCTTGCCATTGATTGCGTGGATACCTAACATCTCACATCGTACATCGTGCCATAGAATGCGTGGATGCCTAACATCTCACATCATACATCGTGCCATAGAATGCGTGGATGCCTAACATCTCACATCATACATCGTGCCATAGAATGCGTGGATGCCTAACATCTCACATCGTACATCGTGCCATAGAATGCGAGGATGCCTAACATCTCACATCATACATCGTGCCATATAATGCGTGGATACCTAACATTTCACATCGTACATCTTGCCAAATAATGCGTGG